CCAATCAAATGGGCTTATAATGCTTCCTGCAAGTTCTATTACCACCGGAGTTGACCCCTTGAATCAAGTTTGGGATTTTTGCTGCATGTCAAAAGTTGTTGGACTGTCAGTCTTCAAGGATTGTGGCTAATTGGAGCCGTCTTTTTCTCTGTTCTATAGTTTGTATCCCATAGTACCAGATCATGTTGTTGTCCATCGGTCCGCTAGTATCTTGGTGGAGCCTCTGCAGAATAAGGGTTCTACTAGCAGATAATGTTGTACAAAGTACATTCAACTACGCACGAGACAGTATCTCTAACATTTATTTCTAGTATCTTTCTTTACGTAAAAAGAAGTGTGTTCCCAGCTAAGTCGAAGACGATCTAGTTACTTTGGGCTATGTAAAGGTATCAGAGGCCAGATGCTATGTAGCTAGAACAATTCCACCATCGACACCTTCGAAGTCGTCAGCAGCGTCTACTATCGCAAGTGTATCGTATTCATCTATAATAACACTGTTTTAGCGATGCTCAATGCCAGTAAAATATTTCCTTCAATACACGCCATATATTTTCATTTGAATTTCACTGTTAGCAGTCGACTTTCTTAAACTCGATTGGTTTTATTTCGAACCGCTTCGCTCTCCGCAGCATTGTGGCGCAAAAACTATTTCACGTTTTGGTGGTATTGATGCTGGGATCGGCATCACTTTTTGATGCCTTCATGCTGTCGCTGAGCTATGGTGGAGATCTTAGCGTCTTCTTTCTGTTGATATGCGTGCGTTATCATTGCTTCCGTTTGGTCGCTTAATTGCCGAGTTCGTGAGATCGTTTATTGATCATCTCGAAGCGGGACGTGTCAACTTGACCCACTCGTATCTGCTGCTTGGCCGCGCGTTACCGTTATGGCTTGTGCTTCTCCTGCCTCTCCTTCTCCACTTGTAATGAACGCTGGAGTTGTAGCACTGGGGGTTGGATATGCAATGGGAGCCGTGGTGGGTTCCAGAAGGATCTGCTGCTGTATTTCTTTCGATGACTTTTGCGTCGATATTCGCACAGAATTACCACGCATCTGTCGTCCATGGAGAATTCACGCAGGTACCAGCATTAACTTAATTGGGGGAGAGTTTCTTAGCACTGACACTTGTATTGTTTGTGCGATCGGTATAGGTGTTTTTACTTATTAGCCGGTGTTTTCTTGACGTCTGTCTTAGAAGCTTCAACCAGCGCAGATCACCAACTTAGTGCTGCCACTTTTCTTCTACACAGCATGCAACCTGGTTGCTTTCCATCGTGTATGAGCCGAATAAGCTGGTTAAAGTTGGTACGCAACGCGTGTAGCTACGATGGTCATATTGGTGGCTTGCTCTGGTCTTGCTTTTAAGGTGACGGTTTCAGGGTGAGTTCCAGGATGAGGAGCTCTCTTTTCGAATTGAATTGGTCTCATTTTTCGTAGGATGGATTATTAATACGTGTAGTTAATTAAATAAAGATCCTGATCGGACCCACGGACTCGCCCACCACCCCCAGGACGTACTTGAGCAGGAGATCGTAAATCTCGTAGTAACTACCGTGTGTCGATGTCTCTGCAGGTACAACGGCGATCTTTGCGTCCTCCTTCTTGACAACAGCAATAGCATCTTCGATGGTTGCATAGCCGATGGTCTTGAACCCGTTTACAGCGCTGAGCATCTCGTTCGCGGCCGCCTTTGCACCAGAGGAGCCGGCGTTTTCGTTGTAGGCCACTCGTGTCGACATTCCAACTGCCATAATGGAGGTTTGGCTACTGACTTGGTGGTGTTAAAGCGAATTCCGGAATGAAAGATTAAAGACCATGGCATTCGTACAGTATCAGTATCAGTTGAAGATGCCATTGGTCCAAACAATAGATGGCCAGGCGTCTGACCTTGGAGATTCGTGCTGTTCCTCTGGGGTTCATGTGGCTGTGACGGCCTGCAGCTCTTGGAGATAACAGCACATACGTATAGGTAAAATACAAGTTCGTCTACGCTAAAACTCACGCTATTGCAGCTAGAAAATCTAGCTTCGTACTCTGCTGGAAATAACTTGACCGAAACCAATTGTATGCGCGTATCTGGCAGACATGATGCAGCCGTCTATTTTCGCCTTGCAAGACCCAACCAAGCACACCATTAGTGGTTAGCGGCATTCTGTCGAGTGGGTAGATTCCCTGAGTGCGCGGTTGACGACCTCTTGGCGATGCCGCACTC